ATTCAGGGGAGATTTCAAGGCCAAGAAAAAGCCTTTAGATATCATTCAGGTACCTGAGAAGTTGGGCAAACCACTCCGGAGTGTTGAAAAGGGTCGTGCGTTCCAAGGAGTTAATATTCTCTCCCCGCAGCACAGTGTTAAGGCTCCCAATTGCCCACAGGTGAAGCCTACATAGCTGCAAAGGCTTAGGGGAAGGTTCCAGGCCAAGACGAAGCTGAATCGGCCTCGGATAAATCCTTCTAACTCAACTCAGTGGAAAACTGATATGGAGTCAGCAGCTTCGAGCGCAGGACCGAGGGATGATCTATTCGACGTACCCTACGATCCTAAGAGCGAGACCATTTACGGCTACTCGGAGCAGCAACAACCACTACTCCTCGAGGTGATCTGCAAAGGGTGACGCCTCCAGGCACTGGTGGACAGTGGTGCGTCCCACTCGGTGTGCGACCACGGGACGTTGGAGAAAATTGGAGAATCTTCGGAGGAGGCCAAGTTCACGGCAACGATGGTGGACGGTACGAAACTTCCCATCCACGGCGAAGCATCACTGCAGCTACACATAGGGGCGCTGAGGTGGAAGTCAATGTTGCCGATTACGAACATCCAGGGATTGGATTTTAGCTTGGGGCGAGATTTCCTGAAGCGGTTCAACCCCGAGATCGACTGGGTCAACAGGAAGGCGTGCATCTACAACAACGCGAAAAGAGTGGAGCTGAGAAGCTGGACGGATACAAAGAGCGTTCCTGAAACAACACTGGCACGATTCGAACGGACGGTGAACGAGAGTAACACGGGTTACTTAGCACTGGTTATGGCAGCACCAGAGGAGGAGAAGCTGAGTACGGAGCTACCTGCAGCAGTGAAGGAGGTCTTGGAGCAGTACAAGGATATAATGCCCGACGACCTACCTGCAGGCGTACCTCCAGCACGCACCCACGAGCACGAGATCGTGGAGGAACCAAGTGTAAAACCCGTCTCACGTGCACCATACAAACTGAGTCCGACCAAGCTAACAAACATGAAGAAACAGATAGAATATCTACTGGACAGACAACTGATCCGCCCATCCACCTCTCCGTACGGTGCACCAGTCCTCTTCACTCCGAAACTAGACGGCAGTTTACGGATGTGCATCGACTGCCGCGCACTGAACAAACAGTTAGTTAAAAACAAATACCCCATACCGCGCATAGACGACCTACTGGACCAACTGCGTGGTGCAACTGTCTTTTCGAAGTTGGACCTACGGTCAGGTTACAGGCAGATCAAGATGGCGGACAACTCGATCCACAAGACGGCGTTCCGTACGAGATACGGCTTCTACGAATACTTGGTGATGCCGTTCAGACTCTGCAACGCACCAGCGACGTTCCAGGCAGAAATGAACCATATCCTGCGGCCCCTGCTTGACGAGTGCGTAGTAGTGTACCTAGACGATATTCTCATCTACTCCAAGAACATGAAGGAGCACGTGGAGCATCTGCGGAAGGTGTTCTAGATCTGGGTACCGAATTACGCCCCGCTACGGCAGATCCTATTGGAGTAGTTTCACAACGTACCTTACGCGGGACATTTCGGGAGCAACAAAACGTTAGCAGGGATAGCGAAGTATTACTACTGGCCCGGGATGGCAGCAGACGTGCAGCAGTTCGTCACCTCATGCGACACGTGCCAGCGGATGAAGAGTAGTAAGCAGAAGAAAGCAGGGTTACTTCATCCTCTACCCGTACCGGAGCAGCCATGGCAAGTCGTTAGCCTCGACTTCATCACGGGACTTCCTTCGACCTCACGAGGGCATGACGCTATACTCGTGGTGATCGACAAGTTCTCTAAAATGGGTCACTTCATCCCGACCAGCACCACGGCTACAGCTGAAGCAACTGCTCGCCTCTTCTTCGACCGCATCATCACCATCCACGGCATACTCGCTACACTTATCTTAGATAGAGAGCCCAAATTTATGAGTAATATCTGGAAGGCTCATGGGATAATTGGGGACTAAACTTGTGATGTCCTCAGCATACCATCCACAGACTTACGGACAGACAGAGCGACTCAATCAGGTGGTTGAACAGTTACAGCGCACAGCTTGCAAAGACGACGTCAGCCAATGGGACACACAATTACCGACCCTAGAGTTTGCTTACAACAACGCGTCACATGCGGCCACGGGGAAAACTCATTTCTTCCTGTGTTACGGACGGGAACCACTCACACTACAGCAACCAACTACGGAGGTAACTGCTGCAACGGGAGCTAGACTACGGGCTAGGCACAGATGCTCGTGTGATATCTGCGTTCGTTGGTCCTTAGTCGTTTTCCTCGTGCACACTCTCCTTGCTAGTTCACGAGGCAAATTGGCAAGAGTTTCACTAGAGAAAGTTGACAACAATGGTAGCAACAACATTGGCAACACAGACTACATAAGAGCTAGCTAGGCTGCTGGTCGACCTCCAGCGCAGCACGGCCGACCGCGCTCCAGCGTAGCAGCACTCGCACCGCTCCTGCGTTGCAGAGTAGCGGTGCGCCAACGTTGCAAGTCCATGGTGTGCCAACGCTGCAGCAAGTCGGTTGCACAGCGTTGCACCCGCAGGACAACGGTGCATATGCTTCGCAGGTGCGCGCAGCTGGTTGGCGCTCCACACCTTGTCACGAGCACAGCGCAGACGTCTGGCAGACTCCATGCCAGCGACTGCGCCCACCAGCCACGTCGACCTCGGGATACCACCCCCGAGGTCGGCCTCGCAGACTCCACCGCGACAACACTCGCACACGTCGCCCGGGTATCCTGGTCGTCTGGGCAACCACGCCTGGCCAACCAGCGCAGTCCGTAGCCGGCCACCTATGCCCGGCGTCCCCAGTCCGGCGTCTCGACGCCCAAGACGCCTTGCAGACCTCCAGGGTGGCGTCCAGCCTCTCAGGACGCCGACCAGACGCCCAGGTCGGCGTCCGGGCCCCCAGGACGCCGTGCAGACGCCCAGGGAGGCGTCCCAGGTTCCTAGGACGCCGTGCAGACGCCTAGGTTGGCGTCCAGCCTTCCAGGATGCCAACCAGGCGTCCAGGATGTCGATCAGGCGCCCGGGTAGTCGTGCCGACTCCCAGGTCGGCGTCTAGCTTCCCAGGTCGCCATCCAGGCGTCCAGAACGGCGTCCTTCTGCTCGGCGCCCTCCAGCCAAGCGCCCTCCATCTCGGTGCCCCTGCAGTGGCCCCCGTGCCCACTGCTGCAGGTCGGCTGCAATCCCCGCACATCCGACCACGAGGTCGGCTCCGCCCAAGCGAGGGCGGGGCCAAACAACGCTCCCGTTGACACCAACCACACCGGCACACGTCCAAGCCGCACATGACTCTGTCACCACCATGCAGCAGCTATGGGAGAAGACTCAGCCACGTCTCACCACGATGCAGAACTCCCAGAAGCAATATGCCGATCGCTGGCGACGTGATCACGCAGTAGCAGTCGGAGATCAGGTACTTCTCGACACGCGCAACTTGAACCTGTCTCACCTCCCATCCAACTCCAGCCTCGCTTCTGTGGTCCCTTTCGCATTGAGGCAATGGTGACACTAGTAACATTTTGCTTACGCTTACCTACTACTTGGAAGCGTCACAATGGTTTCCATGTTCAGCTACTGAAACCCTACAAGGACCCCAACCAACAGTTCCAGGGATGACAGCTACCACCACCACCACCACCTGTTCTCGTACAGGATGAACCAGAGTATGAAGTGGAGCAGGTTCTCACTCATCGGTGCCGCAGCGACAAGACCCTCGAGTTTCTGATACGCTGGAAGAGATATGACCCCACTGAGGACAGTTGGGTTGCAGAAGCTGATATGAGCAACGCACGCCGTGCTCTCAAAGATTATCTTGTCAAGCAAGGTGTATCTCAGACCACCCAGCTTTGAGGGGGGGACGTGTGAGAGTACGACGGCTTATGTTGGCTTTGCTAGCTCGCCTGAACTTTATTATGCTATTTATAGCTTGGGTTTTATTTATCATGCATAGATATGCTTGATTTCCTAGGTTAGGTGCATTCCTATATTTTATTATAGTTATAGCACCGAGCTAGGTTGCGTGCACCGAATTCTGGGCTTTTCGGTTGCCACAGAGTCGCCTTCTACTGAATTCGGGAAGGGTCTGTTCGGGACGCTTTGCGACCCTCAGAACCTTCGCGTAACACCTGGTTACTGGGCCTTGTGTCGAGTCTATATATAGCCTCGTGTTGTACCCAGGTGATCATTCAATTCAAACTTACTTTTCTTAGCTCGATCCTAGATCCTCACATGAATCATACAAACCAGAAAGTAAAACACATGAAGAAGAGGAGTCATCAAGTCATCTTCTCACCTGCGCATGTGTGCTGATGCCGCAAATCTAAGCCTTGGACTTGCAGCAACAGGAGCAGCAGCAGCAACAACAACAGTAACCCATCCATTCATTCCCTCACTTGTGCATGCGTGCTGATGCCTCGACTTTGCGCCTTGGACTAGTGCATCTTGGCTATCTGCGCTCTCACCCTCACCAGTTTCCCGTGCCAACACGCGCACTGCTGCCTGGCAGGCGAGAAATGCATGGAGACGGGTACAAGCACATGGGGAACAAACCAATCATATCCCTCTATTGATCTCCACCCTCACTCGCACCAGTTCCCGTGTCAACATGCGTGCTGCTGCCTGGCAACACACATGGCTCCTATTGTGCCCTCTCATCGACATCACCACATGTGTGGTGAGGCAAGATGACATGCACACGTGGCAATTTGACATGCATTACGGATGGCAATATGGCATGCATTAGTGAAGCCTGTCCCTACCGCCCAGCCCCACCTGGTTACCACGCCCACCTGGTTACCACTCCCACCTAGTTACCACTCCCACCTGGTTACCACTCCCACCCGGTTACCACTCACACCTGGTTACCACTCCCACCTGGTTACCACTTCCACCTGGTTACCACTCCCACCTGGTTACCACTCCCACCTAGTTACCACTCCCACCTAGTTACCACTCCCACTTGGTTACCACTCCCACCTGGTTACCAACTCCCACATGGTTACCAGTCTTTGCTGTCTTCTTGATCTCCACCAACAGCTTCTTCTCCTGCCACATGCCGCTCACATGCTGCCCACATGCCCCCCGCATGCCTCCCACATGCCACCCACATGCCGCCCACATGCCGCCCACATGCCGCCCACATGCCGCCCACATGCCACCAGCATGCCACCGAGATGCCACATCCAAAGAAACAGCATGCCACTACGTGTAAGCCACACACACAGTGTTCGTGGAGCATGCATGAGCATGCGGAACTGACGAGTAGCATGCCTGGGGCATCTTGAAAAACGTGTGAAACACATGCCGCCCACTGGTCTCCCCTGCCGCCCACTGGTCTCCCTTGCCGCCCACTGATCTCCCCTGCCGCCCACTAGTCTCACTTGCCGCCCATTAACTAGTCTCCACTGCCGCCCACTAGTCTCCTCTGCCGCCCACTGGTCTTACCTGTCGCCCACTAATCTCACCTGCCGCCCACTAGTCTCCACTGCCGCCCACTAGTCTCACCTGCCGCCCACGAGTCTCACCTGCCGCCCACTAGTCTCCACTGCTTCCCACTAGTCTCACCTGCCGCCCACTAGTCTCCATTGCCGACCACTATTCTCCACTGCCTCCCCTTAGTCTCACCTGCCACCCACTAGTCTCCACTGCCGCCCACTAGTCTCACCTGCCGCCCACTAGTCTCCACTGCCTCCCACTAGTCTCACCTGCCGCCCACTAGTCTCACCTCTGCCTGTAGATTAGCCACCTGTCTCTCTAGCCCCTGCTCGCCAACACGCGCGCTGCTGCTTGGTAGGCATATGGGAGGTAAGAGATGCACTAGCATGGGGGACAGCTCTACCACGGGCATGGGGAGACGAACGATAGCATCACAGCACATCTGTCTCTTGGTTTCAAGATGTGTGCCTTATCTCACCCGCACCAGCTCCCTCGCCAACACCCGAGCCACGGCGTGGCAGTCGGGAAACGTGTGGAGGGATGGGATGGGATGGTATGAGATGGGATCGGATGGGATGGTATGGGATGGGATCGGATGGGATGGGATGGGATGGTATGTGATGGTATGGGATGGGATGGGATGGGATGGGATGGGATGAGATGGGATGGGATGGGATGGGATGGGATGGGTTGGGTTGGGATGAGATGGGATGGGATGGGATGGGATGGGATGGGACATGACGGGATGGGATGGGATGGGATGGGACGGGATGGGATGGGATGGGATGGGATGGGATGGGATGGGACGGGATGGGATGGGATGGGATGGGACAGGATGCCCTGTCACATTAAAAATGAAGCAGCATGGCATGCACTAGCGATGGCAAGATGAGCACATGACATGCAAATAAAAAAGACAAAAACACATGAGCGCCTCCTAGGAACACCTCCTAGTAGTCTTACCTCATTAGCACTACATTAGTGACGCAATACGATACGACAAGCATTTTTAAGCATTTTTTAGCATTAATGACTTTTCAGGCACTCAAAAGTCGCCTCAAAAGCTATTTTGAGGCACCTCAAAAGACACTACATTAGCGATACAATGCAATACGGCAAGCATCAGTGATGCCAGTTCCAATCTCACCTGCTTTCCATGCCCACCTGGTTACCAGCCCCACCTGGTTACCAGTCCCACCTGGTTACCAACCCCACCTGGTTACTAGCCCCACCTGGTTGTCATGGTTACTAGTCTCTGGTTACACTCACACCAGTCCCGTCTGGTTACCACTCCCACCTCATTACCCGTCTTGGTAGTCTTCTTGATCTCCACTAGCAGCTTCTTCTCCTGCCACATGTCATTCACATGCCATTGACATGCCATTCACATGCCATTCACATGCCATTCACATGCCATTTACATGCCATCCACATGCCATTCACATGCCATTCACATGCCATCCACATGCCATTCATATGCCATTCACGTGCCATTCACCTGCCACCCACGTGCCACCCGTATGCTGCCCACACATGCCGCCCGCATGCCGCCCATGCCGCCCACACGCCGCCCACATGCCGCCCACATGCCGTCCACATGTCGCCAACATGCCGCCCACATGCCACCCATATGCCGCCCAGATGCCACCCACATGCCGCCTACATGCCACCCGCATGCCACCCACATGCCACCCAGATGCCACATCCAACGAAACAGCATGCCACCACGTGTAAGCCACACACACAGTGTTCGCGGAGCATGCATGAGCATGCGGAACTAACGAGTAGCATGTCTGGGGCATCGTCGACCGGGAGGCCGACGGAGCAGTCCGTCGACCTGACAAGTGAGCAGCGGTTGACGAGGGGAGCTCGGCGACAACATCTGATTGTTCTGGTCGATGGAAGGGGTCCATCGACCAGGGGGTAGCTCGACGGGAGCTGTGGTCGACCAGAGGGACCCGGTGGTCGACCAGAGCAATTGGTGGTCGACCAAGTTGACAGGGTAACCTGCTTGACGAGTTTTGCGGAGGCACGCGAACGTCGTCGAGGTCACGATGGCGAAGGCGACTAACAACGGGAGTAGGGTTTGATCCCGTCCTCGCTTGGGCAGAGCCTACTGCGGGGGCCGCGAAATCGCGGGAGGACCGCGGTGGCCGCGAAACCGCGGGAGGACCGCGGTGGCCGCGAAACCGCGGGAGGACCGCGGTGGCCGCGAAATCGCGGGAGGACCACGGTGGCCGCGAAATCGCGGGAGGACCGCGGGAGCCGCGATACCACGGAGGACCGTGGGAGCTGCGAAACCGCGGAGGACCGTGGGAGCTGCGAAACCGCGGGAGGACCGCAAAATACCCGGTCAACCAGGAAACCTGGGCGACGTGCGCGAAAGTCGCTGGGGGTGTTTTCTGCGAGTACGACTTCGGGGGTGGTATCCCGAGGTCGACGTGGCTGGTGGGCGCTATCACGAGTGGAGTGTCTGTGCTGGGCATGTGACGGGGAGTTGGGAGCTCCTCAACCGGGTGGTCACCACGTCGGACGTGGTGTTCTACGAGGATATGTCACTGCAGGTGTGGAAGTCGGAGCACGGGCCGATGTCAGGTCTGACGCCAACCACCCCGCCGACCGATACCTCGACGGCGACGCTGACTCTGCTTGCCGAAGTCGGTGAGCTTGCTGCTGAGGACACCGAGGTCGTCCGTCCTCCTTCCCCTTTTCCTAAGACCCCCGCCCCTCCCCTCGTGGCCGACCGGCACGGGCAGACTCCTATGTCGGCCTCCGGCGATGAGGGGAGTAGTGGGACGTCGCCTTCGGCGCCAGCCAAGGGCATCGCCGGTGGCCGACGTGACGACTGACAGGTCAACGTGGGATTGAAGTCGACGTCGATAGGGGAGGAGCATGTCGAGGAGCAGCAGCTGACAGGGGAGCAGGCAGCAGTGACGCCGACAACGGAGCAGTCGGCAACCAGGCAGTCGGCAGGGGAGCCGACCACAGGGGAGAGGTCAGCCAGGACGTCGACCGAGGTGCAGCAGAACGATGAGGGCAGTGAAGACGGTGACGAAGAAGGGGACGCCGGGGAGTCCACCAAGAGAGACGTGGTGGAGGTTCGGCCGGAACCCCGGAAGTCGGACAGAGTTCGGAGGCCGCCGGACTTCTTTGTCCCCGCTGCCTTCACCACGGTGTACGACGTGGACGATGACGACGACCTGCTGTACGACGACGCCAAGGAGGATGAGGAGTTTCCGGAGCTCGACCCCGACATGCTGGCCGACCCCGAACACCGTTGGGACATCTCGACCATGACGGCAAAGGAGGCTTTGGCGAGCTGGAAGGGCCCGGCGGTGAAGGCCGCCATGGAGGAGGAGATCCGCAGCCTCATCAACATGGGCACATGGGAGGTGGTCGAACGCCCGCCGGGGGTCAACATCATGAAGAACCGGTGGGTGTTGACGACGAAGTACCACGTCGACGACACCGTCGAGCGCGAGAAGGCGAGGCTGGTCGTGAAGGGCTTCATGCAGGTATACGGCGACGACTACGACGAGACGTTCGCGCCGGTGGGCAGCTACATCACGCTGAGGATCTTCCTCAGCATCGTCGCCGTCCTCAACCTCAACCTGATGCAGCTCGACATGAAGAACGCCTTCTTGCAGAGCAAGCTCGACCGGGTGCTCTACATGTCCCAGCCGGACTACTTCAACGACGGAACCGGCCGGGTGTGCAAGCTGCTGAAGAGCCTATACGGGCTGAAGCAGTCGCCGCTGCTGTGGTACTTGGCGCTCAACGACGTGCTGGTCGGTGCCGGGTGGAAGAAGAGCCAGGTCGACGAGGCTCTGTACTTCAAGGTCGACGAGGACGGAGTGGCCTGCTGGGTGTTGGTCTACGTCGACGACTTTCTTGCCGCCAGCAGTAGCACCGAAATGCTGAAGGAGCTGCTGGCGTCCGCCTTCGAGCTGCGGGAGATCTCCCCGGTGCGGAAGTACCTCGAGCTGGAGATCGTGCACGACAGGTCGGCGAGGAAGCTGTGGCTGCACCAGCAGGGCTACGCCGACAAGCTGCGTAGGCGTTTCATCGACGACGAGCAGACCCGGCGCACCCCGAAGACGCCGGTTTCGGTCGGCGCCTACGCCGAGCTCACCTTCGACGACGAGGAGGCGCAGGAGCGATAGGAGGAGGAGTACCGGCAGAAGGTCGGCTCGCTGCAGTTCGCGGCGACGACGATAAGGCCGGACATCGCCTTCGCCCGCAGAAAGCTGGGGAGCGGCCTCACGGTGAGGAGCGACCAGCACTGGCGCGAGGTCGACCGCTGCCTTGCCTACCTCGCCAACACGCGTGGCACCGCCTTGGAGTTCGGCGGTGGACCTGAGTCGCTCGAGCTGGTTGGCTACGTGGACGCCGACAACGCTGGTGACAAGCAGGACAGGACGAGCACGGGCGGCTACGCGTTCATCTACGGAGGGGCCGCAGTCTCCTGGTCGAACCAGCGCATCAAGTGCGCGACGTTGTCGTCGACTGAGTCGGAGTATTTGGCGGCCACGGAAGCCGGAAAGGAGGGACGTCAACTTCGCTTCCTCCTCGCAGAGTTCCGGCAGGTGGATGCCGGGAAGCCGACCGTCCTCCGGGTGGACAACAAGTCGGCCATCACAGTCGCCGAGGGCATGGGGTTGACGGGCAACCTCAAGCACATGGAGCGGCGACAGGCCTAGCTGCAGCACATGGTGAAGCGCGGGAAGTTTTCACTGAAGTACATCCCGACCGCTGAGCAGCCGGCCGACTTCCTGACGAAGGCGCTGCACTACGCGGCCTTCAACCGGTGCTCCGTTGCAATCAGCCAAGTGCGCCTGGCTGATATGGGCGACGGTGACAACGACGTGCAACAGTAGGTGCCATGCCCTTCTTCATGGCTGGTGCGGTGACCGGCGTGCTGTGCGTTGTGTGCACGCCGACGGGCTATTCTCCGAGCAGTACTGCCGTATGGGCCGCGGGGGGGGGGGGGGGGGCAAGCGTGAACGCGGCAGGGGAGTGTCAACGGGAGTAGGGTTTGGCCCCGTCCTCGCTTGGGCGGAGCCTACTGCGGGGGCCGCGAAATCGCGGGAGGACCGCGGTGGCTGCGAAACCACGGGAGGACCGCGGTGGCCGCGAAACCGCGGGAGCCGCGATACCACGGAGGACCGTAGGAGCCGCGAAACCGCGGAGGACTGTGGGAGCCGCGAAACCGCGGGAGGACCGCGAAATACCCGGTCAACCAGGAAACCCGGGCGACGTGCGCGAAAGATCGCCGGGGGTGTTTTCTGCGAGTACGACCTCGAGGGTGGTATCTTGAGGTCGACGTGGCTGGTGGGCGCCGTCACGAGTGGAGTGTCTGCGCTGGGCATGTGACGGGGAGTTGGGCGCCAACCAGCTGCACGCACCTGCGAAGCTGGTGCACCATTGTCAGGCGGGTGCAACGCTGTGTTGCCGACTTACTGCAGCGTTGGCACACCATGGACTTGCAACGTTGGCAAGCCGCGACTCTGCTCTGCTGGAGCGCGGTCGACCAAGTCGTGCTGGCACGCGGTCGACCGTGCTGCGCTGGCAGTCGACCAACAGCCTTGCTAGGTCTGATGTAGTCTGTGTTGCCAATGTTGATGCAATCATTCTGAACCATTATTGTCAACTTTCTCTAGTGAAACTCTTGCCAATTCTCCCTGTGAACTAGCAAGCTGTGTGTGCACTAGGAAAACGACTAAGGACCAACGAACGCAGAGATCACACGAGCACCCGTGCCTAGCCCGTAGTCTAGCTCCCGTCATAGTAGTTATCTCCGCAGCGACTTCAGGCTGGTATCCCAAAGTCGATGTGGCTCGTCAGGCGCAGACAACAGCCGACGGATGCACAACGATGCAAGTCGGGTCATTCGTCTGCGCGCATTGCTGCCTTCTATGGGGCAACGCTGGACAGCCGCTCAGCTGCAGTACTCAACATGCTCTATTGGCAGGTTGCATTTCTGCAGTGCTGGCGCAGCTCCTCTACGCAACGCTGGCAGGCGATCGACCAAGCTGTGTTGGCGGTCGACCAGGCTAGCTGCAGAGTTGCTAGGTTCCTAATCTAGTCATTGTTGTCATTACTTGTTCTACCTATTCAGTAATTCCAACTTTGCTAGTGAAACTCTTGCCAACTTCTCCCGTGAATGCGCAAGAGCTAAGGAACGCAAGCAAAGCTACGGTCACTCTTAGTAGTTCGTGCCTACCCACTGTAGTCTAGCTCACTACCTTTGTCGAGTGACTCTTCGCACTCGTCCTCCGCCTTCTTCTGCGCTGCAGCAAGGGCCTTCTCCTTCTCCTCCTCTTCCGCCTTCCTCAGCACCTTCAGGCCAGGCTTCTTCTTCTCCCCCTCTTCCGCCTTCTTCTGCGCCTCTGCATTTGCCTTCCTCTTCTCCTCCTCTTTTGCCTTCCTGTGTGCATCTAGGTCAGCCTTCTTCTTCTCCTCCTCCTCCGCCTTCTTCTGCGCCTCTATACGGGCCTTCCTCTTCTCCTCCTCTTACGCCTTCCTCTGCACCTCCAGGTAAGCCTTCTTCTTTTCAACGGGAGTTGTGTGTTGGCCCCGTCCTTGATTGGGCAGAGCCGACTTCGTGGTCGGGTGTGAGGGGAGCAGCCGACCGGCAGCAGTGGGCGAGCTGGTTGACGAGGAGGTCGACCTGCACAAGGGCCACTGCACGGGCGCCGACTTCAGGGTGGCGCTGACTTC